TGTACTTTGACCCAAGCTCATGTACTGATAAGGCTGTCAATGATGTGAGCGGGGCAAATTTCTTGGTTACATTATGCTATCTCAATGTCTTCAACTCTCCTTTGCTGCTTGGCTACTTTCTGGTTTCCTTTTGAGAGTGTGTTTTTATGTATGGCAGGACGGGTGTGTGAATGGCTCAACCTTCTGTCATTCTTGCAACTGCAAGTTATGATCACACAATCAGATTTTGGGAAGCCAAGAGTGGTCGCTGTTACCGCACTATTCAGTATCCAGACTCGGTGAGTGTTGGCTCTGGGTTCTTCGTTATCCTTATGACAAAAGTAATGATGTACATAAGGTGGATGGACCATACCCTTCCATAATTCTGTTCAAACAGTCTTACAGGACTACAAAATATTTTAGACCAATGCATAGGCTTCGCTTCAAGACATAGTTACATACTTGCAATCATATGCACCGTGTGCCTGTTGACAACCTATCTTTTGCAGCAAGTCAATCGCCTTGAGATAACCCCGGACAAGCGATTCCTAGCTGCTGCTGGCAATTCCCATATCCGCCTTTTTGATGTTAACTCAAATAGCCCACAACCGGTATGTTACGTGTTCTCTAAAAGCAACCAATCTGGACCAACATGTTTCCGTTCTTTATTTACTCAATATCCTAACAGGTAATTAGCTATGATTCGCATACTAGTAATGTGATGGCTGTGGGGTTCCATTGTGATGGCAACTGGATGTACTCAGGTTCTGAGGATGGCACTGTGAGAATTTGGGATTTACGGTGAGGTTTCTCATCTTATTATGTTGCTTGGCTACAGCTTTTTTTTCCTTCACGGCTTCACCTGCTGTTCCCAAATAATTATTTTAATCAAGACAGAGAATCCAAAGCAAACCCATCTATAGGTCCTGTTATGCTCGATTCGATGTGGTTTGGGTAAACTAGATCAAATGGGATTAAGTGTCAATCACTCAATTGAATGTAACCTGTTTAGAAAATCCTACCAATTTATTTCTCTATAAATCTGCTCTATCCAAATCTCGTCGAATGGCCCATGTGAGAGTTCACTGATACTCAAGAGTGTTTTTCTGTGCGAAGGAATAGTGGTCTTGAAGTTGAAACTTTAACTAGATACTCACCATTATAGTAATATCCTGTGTTTTTGACTTTTTGTTAATGATTTTCCTGTCCATGAGGTATGTTCTGTTGATCTGAATCTTTATTCATGTGCATGTATGGTTTTAGGACTGCCACTTGTCAACGAGAATATGAAAGTCGAGCAGCTGTCAACACCGTGGTCCTACACCCAAATCAGGTTAGAATATGTTCCGGCAGGTCTTAACCAACTTCAGTTTTCATTATCCAAGCATAGCACTGAATATTGCATTTGATCATAAGCTTGTTGACTAGCTAATACTCTCTGAAAAGAATGCTTGTATCTTTTGTGTGAAGTCAAATGATGCATAGTTTGACCAGATTTGTAGGAAAAACCATCAACAACTACAGTCTTAAATAGATATAGTATAAGTATGAAAATATATTGCATTGTATATCTAATGATATTAATTTGGTATCGTAGGTCTTGATAGTTTTTGCTACAAACTGGCAAGGGTTGTCTTATTTGCCACATTTGTCCTGGTATTTTGTTCATTCTATATCATTTACTTCCACATTATCTCCCCAATGTTCCAGAAAGAACTAATATCTGGCGACCAGAACGGAAACATACGTGTGTGGGATTTGGCAGCTAATTCATGCAGCTGCGAGTTGGTAAGTTACATATTTCAGATTTTAGGTGCAAGTGTATAATTAAAGTGAGATGCAAGAACACGGTTGATGTGTTTGTTCCATTTATTCAGGTGCCAGAGGTCGATACAGCTATAAGATCTCTGACAGTCATGTGGGATGGGAGTATGGTTGTTGCTGCAAATAACCGTGGGACATGTTATGTTTGGCGCTTGCTTAAGGGTACTCAGGTTCGTGAGTCTGCAGACCTACATGCCATTGTACACTATATGATTTCTGCATTTTTTTAAGCTGATGAGACCGCTTTTTTAGACAATCACCAGCTTTGAGCCCCTCCATAAGCTGCAAGCCCATGATGGCTACATTCTGAAGTGCCTGCTTTCACCTGAATTTTGTGACCCTAACAGGTATATAATGATCAAAATGATCAATTTTCGCTTTCGTGACTCTCTTCTAAATGTCTTCTTTTGCACACTGCTTTCTAGTTCCCAGTCATTCATTTGCCAAACTGCATTGGTGCGCATGAAAGTCTTAGTAGCATTCACCTTCCAAAGCTCCAATTACACATTTTTCATCTAAAAAAAGGATTCATCTACGCATATTATAACAATGTACCACTGGATCTCATTTTATGGATTTCATGACACATGCATGACTTGGGCTTGTTTATAGGTATCTTGCAACTGCATCATCTGACCACACTGTAAAGATTTGGAACGTGGATGGCTTCAAGTTGGAAAAAACTTTAGTCGGTAATTTCCGGGCTCCTTTTTAATTCTAAATTTATCAGTTAGAACTAAAAGTTGTAGAATTTTAATCGGTACACTGAAACTATGCGGGGTATTCGACTCTCCAGGTCACCAGCGCTGGGTCTGGGACTGCGTTTTCTCAGTAGACGGTGCTTATTTGATAACAGGTACGCGCTAACCGCTCACATGGCGCTGCTCATCTTCCTGTCTATTCACGATTTAAAACCGGGCAAATCTTTTGCCGTTTTGCAGCTTCGTCTGATACGACGGCAAGACTGTGGACAATGTCGACGGGAGAGGCCATCAGGGTGTACCAGGGGCACCACAAAGCAACCGTCTGCTGCGCCCTCCATGACGGGGCTGAATCGGCACCCTCATAAGCAACACCGCCGCGGCGCGGCATGGTTCTGTACATATCTCTGTCGGTTCGAACAACGCAGCAGGGCGCTCTGCTAGATTTTCAGCGCCGTGGCAGCTCAAAGACAGACGGTTTTAAGATATGATTTGCTGTAGATCATGTAACAATGTATATGCAGTGCAGCCTTTGGGGGCTGCGCACAGGTGATCTGTATGGTTGCTTACTCTGGTGGATATTTATTTGTGCACAACCGAAATAATATGTTCCCGCCGCCATTGGTTCCGCTTGGTAAATGCGAGCTGGAAATGTGTTCGACGTCGACTGTTTTAACTTTGGTTCTTTGCTATGTTGGCTCGACGGCCAAATGGTTAAGAAATCACAGAGTTAAGATGAAGATGAGAGAGCATGACTTGATGGAGCAAGGCAGCTACTATTCAGGCTCAGTTTTTTTGTGGTTTATGTCATATAAGCCGCCTCCTCTCTAGTTTCTTTTAAGGGAAAGCCTTTTGGTATTTTATTTCTCAGCCAAAAATATAAGGCCGGATAAAATTGGGTGGATCTCCATCCCAAACAAAATCAGACTGAACATCATAATGTCTTTTTTTTAGAATCATCATAAGAATGCTTTGCCAAACAAAATCAGACTGAACATCCCAATTACTGCTCACGGCGTATGGCATAATCAGTTCCCTCCCCAACTTATTTTAGAGACCCTGCCCTTGTTCGCTTGGACCTTAGTGCGAGAGATGGTGCATTTGGATACGGTTATCCCAGAGATAAATAACGCCCGCACTAACAACATCCATTTCTGAATCTACACGCAGCGAACAGTAATTCTTTTAAAAAACTTTTATTTTTTTGCATGAAAGATGTTTCAGCGTGTTCAGACATCTGAGTAGCTCAAAAAAGTAAATTCAGTTCGAGTAAACTACTCCCTCTGTACCCCAAATTTATTTATTTTTGCCAAGAGCTACTTACTTAGATGTCCAAACGCACTGAAAATTGGCACGGACCTGACGCACTGAAACATCTTCCATGCAAAAAAATTTAAAAAAAACATATTTTTTTCAAAAAAAACTAGTTTTTTTTTCTGGTTTTACTGTTCATAATGGGAGTTCATGGGAGCAGATGAACTCCAGAGCCAGATCACCGCTCTACCGCGCTAACTGTCATTTGATCCAGCTTGCGAGGGGGAGGGAGAGGCACTGCTTCCACCAAAAACCTACAACATCTGCAGCTGATTACAACAACTCCTACAGTGAGCCATTTTATTACTATGGTATCAGCATCAACCACAACACTAAATTAAAGCGGGGTTTTTTTTTTATCTCCGTTCTCGACGTTACTCATACAACATGATGAATTGAAATGTCCCAGAACAAGAAAAAAGAAAAGAGAAATTACATCTAGCTCACTGGTTTTCTACTTGCACTAGCCCAATTGTGGGTAGCCAACTAGGGCAAACAATGAAGGATTAATACAAAGGTCCGATTATTCATTCATAATCATAACAGAAGAGAGAAAGGAGTTGAACAAAGCAACAAGACTGTGGTGGTGCCATCGCAGGACCTCGTTGCGCATAGATAGGAAGAATTGGCCACTGCTACCACCATCATGTTTCGACCTAGCGACCACTGGGAGCTTTCACCCAAGGAACACTGACCTTGAAATTCCAATCCAAGCCATCAAAGATAAGATGAACGCACCAGCACCAGCACCAGCACCGGCACCGCAACCGACATTGGTGGTGAGTTGACGGGTGCGCGTGGATGCTTGCGAGATTGTGCGCGCACCGACCATCTGAGCAAGCATAAACGTCTTCTGAAACGATGTTTGTCTACTTATATGGATGCTGGTACGCATCATAAGGTTTGCTTGAAATTACTAATGTAAATGTCCATAAACAATTGGAAGTCCGATACACAAACATATTCCATCTTTTTGTGGACTGCCATGACCAAATTAAAAACAAAGACTCAGCAGTACAGAAGGTGGTAATGCATCTCATAGAAATGCTTAAAAACAAAAGGGAAAATCATAACGGAGAACATACATAACCAGCAGTGATACAGGTTTAACTTACAAGACTAAAACAATAGCTTAGTGACGCAACCACTAACGAAGAAATGAAAGCGGGATGAATATATTACCTATTTGACCAAAACCATGTCATCCCCAGCAGCCTTGGCAGCAACAGCTTCCAATTGTCTCCATGCCGATTCCCGTTGCTCCTCCAATTCTTTGGCTTTTTCTTCTTTCTCAATGTACTGCTGGTGGCACTCATCAAATAGATCACTATCCATGTCCAAAAACATCTTGCGCACATTTGCGGTCAGGCCATGAACAGCTTGATTCCAGTGGCTCTGTATGTTCCTCTCAAGTGCTTCAAATATTATTGGAAATATTACACCACGATTTTGGGCAATCAAGCTTACAATGTGATCATTGTTCCATAAGAACAAAGCCCGCTCAGCAACCTGCCATAAATAAATAAACATTGTTATTAAGCAAAATATCAGATAAATGAATTGCCCATGCATCACAGAATATACAATGCTTGTGTAATCAAACGTGGTTCTTAAACAAAACCAGCAAGAAACTGCAAACAAATAGATAATCTCATGGTGTGAACTAAAGTAGCATGAAACAGACTAACGGCATGATGAAACGGTAGGGAGCAGTTAGTTCTCTATTCAGAAGGGGCAGCTATACCATTATAACATGTATAGCAGCAGGTAATACCACTAGCACTAACTACTCCCTCAGTCCGGGTTTATTGGGCCTGTTAGCCAAAACTCAAAGACCAAGGCAGAATATTAAAGCTGAAAACCCGTGATTTCCGAGCACACAAACAACCAATCACATTAGCTCGCAGTTATTATGGAGCATGCCAGCATCCGGTTGCCCGCTCCGCTTGTGCATTCAGCCAATCATCACACCCCTCCAGCGCTAGCCATATTAGCCCGTAATTATTGCATGCTCCTTTTTGCATGCCGAAACGTCAACCAATCAGGCGCAAGTTCAGCCGAGGGGGCGAGGGAAATCAGGCTCACACGTCTAGTGGGGAGAAAAACGGATGCAGCTAGCTTGCTCACGGGCCCAATAAACCCAGACGGAGGGAGTATTTGACATGCCTTAGTCCCACATCCCAGGATATGGGGGGCTAATCTGATGAGCACAACTGACAGAGCACAGAACAAATACCTTGCTCTGAGCAAGTTTCTTTTACACATATAATCATCCAATGAAACTTATCAGATCAATATTGCTTGAAATGCCATCAAAGACAGCAGATTGTACCACTGCCACTTCTAGGGAAAATTGCAATGTGGCACGACTTTCTTTTGTCAGGGAGAGGAAGGTGTGAGTAATTGCTACCAGGGTTTTAATTATCTCGTGCACATGAACTGCTGACACCTAACCAGGATCTCTTTTTACAGGAGAAAGGGCAGTCAGAAAGCATGTTATAGAGTACAAACAACTGTATCATCAAATAGGTCAAAACCCAAAACATACTGATTAAATGCAGCAAAGAAACCCGCTTACATGTGCGGTTATCAGGAAACGGACATATGATACATCTAATATATTTCTTTGGCCTGGTGACAGACACTCCTAATATCTATAGCTTAATAATAAAGCTTCTTGATGTGCTTTCTCACTCTCCTCCAATTAAAAGAACTCCAAGAGAAATGGATTCAGTATTAAACTAGTATGGTCACACATCCATAAACAATGCTCATAAGTAGAAAAATATATTTGCATATGCAGACCGAAAATACATAAGTAGTGCCAAACAAGGGTGATGAATGCAAATAGGTTACGGAATGAAAAAGACATAGTACAGTGACATGAAAGCATATAAAGCGGCAAAGGAGCAACTGCATTCCAATTTGGCGGCTCAAGGAGTCCTGGCAATGGGACCATGAACACAATTTAACTTCCCTATCAGTCAATTTTTTTTTTTTTTTGAAAAACCTGCTACAAGGCGTCCAATACATTGCAAGTGGGTTGAAAAATAAGATGATGAGGAATTTCACAATTAAGAAACTATATGTATTAGCCAAATCTAGTGTATCTAGTAGTTAGCCAACGCTTGGAGAGGAAAGTGTTTGGGTTCAAACCAATTCCAGACTAGTTCCAACATGAGAAAAGTTTGAAGTTTGACCCACTAAGTCTCCGTCAAAACCCCACTAACATTGCATTCTGGTGAAAATTACTGAACATAAAAGAAAATGCCCATACTCGTACAATCATTAGAAAATGAACTGGAAATCAGCATGCAAATCTCACTCTACAATAAGACCTAATAATTAGGTTCTTGACCGTTAAATCCACTGGTAAAAATATGCAAGATTGAACTAATCCTTAAGATATGCTCATCACCATCGTTGCAAATAGTAGACTTATGATGCAGAGCTCAGTTTGGAGTAGAACAATAGTCTAAAATGGATATAATTGACTGATAGGGAAGTTAAATTGTTTGTGGATGATTCTTGTTAAAAGATGGTAAAACTGAAACTTGTATCCACTCATTTTTGTTTGTGTGTGTGTGTGTGG